CAAGGACTCCCCTCAAGGTCATGTGATTGTTGGGAGAAACTAGGATCATTTGGATCACCGACTGATTGGAAATAAAGCCTATTTGTGTTTTTCTCCGTACAAGTCTGTTTGCAAACTGGACAGTTCTTCTTCTTTCCATTTGTACAATACTCAAACCATTGCTGAAGACTGGTTTTTAGAACCATAACATGTCAGAGGCAGAAACAACTGTATCAAAGACACAAGGGAAATCCCTATAGTTCTATCCAGATAGACAAGTAGAGGATTCAAAATCATGAGTCAATAAGTATAAAGTACCCTTGCACCCACTCCACCCTATGGCATTGGTGGGAAAGTAATATCACACACACACACACACACACACATGCTGGCAAAGTTCTGCATCCACCCTATAGAAGGATATTTTCATAGGACAGTAGACCTGACCATAATAACATTGAAGCAAATGAATTTATTCATGCTGATGAACTCCTGGAAAAATATTCATAACAAGTACAATTTTAGGTAAAGCCAGAAGCGGAGCTAAGATTTCAACTTTGTGGATTCTGAATTTTAACAATGATTTCAAGTGCTTTTAATTGGGTTCTAAATTTAATATTTGTACATACTTAATAAAAAAAATTAATATAAATACATTGTTTGAACAAAAGTTATTGGGTTCAATCTGAGCAAAAGTTATTGGGTTAGATCGAACCCATTTCCAGGCTCCTAGCTCCACCCCTGGGTAAAGCAATGATATTTAGCCAAGTACAATCCAAACGATGGATACCTAATACAAGATATTTTCAATTTCAAACTAAGTACAATTCAAACCAGGAATACACAATACAAGTTTTCATATATTTTCAAATTTAATCAAGGAAACCAATACAAGTCTAAAAAAAAATCAATCTTTAACCATGTACAATCCAAACCAATGATACCCAATAGGCCAATACAAGTGTTCAAATATTTTCAATTCCTAACCAATTAAAAACCTAACCAAGGTATGCTAAATACAAGTCCTGTGCAAAAAGTATCCGTTTAGGTAAATAAATGATCTTTAACCAGAGTATATTCCAAACCAAGAATACCCATTCAAAGCGTTTAGATATTTTCAATTTTAAACTAATTGCAGCCCAATACAAGTCTTCAAATAATTTTTACTTTTATAAAAAGCAGACTCCAAACCAATGATACCCAATACAAGACTTCAAATATTTTCAAATCTTAACTAATTAAAAATTCAAAACAAGGTTACCCAATTAAAATCATGAAATCTTTTCACAAATACATAAAGATGTATACAACGGACTAACCAAAGCTCGTGAAAGACATGGCCGCAAAGAGAAATGGATTGAAGGTCTTCGACTATAGGTTTGAGATCCTCATAGCAGATTGAGCAAATGGTCTTGGCAAATGTGTTGCCTCCCACCATCGCTAGCAGCTCTTTAGTCTTTACTCCTCTGTTCGCTGTTTCAGATGTTTGGAAGAATATTGGTTTTGAAAGAAAATGAGTTGGAATATAGTGAGCGGGAAGAAGAGGGAAAATTGAATTGGGGCAAATTAATGAGTTTTTAATAGCGTTTCAGTAGCTTAGTTATTGGATGCAGGTCCTACCTTTCCCTTTATTCCTAAGGAAATTTATTGCAATTATATAGTATATAGTATGATATTTTGTTAGAAACTATAAAAAAGAAAGATTTAAATTATAGGCACTGCCATTGTAAAGATTTCTTTACGATTTCTTTACCCAATTATTTTAATTTGTAATAGCTAATTAATTAATATTTTTTAAACTATCAATATTTATCGAGAGATTTATTACTTACTTAATAAATGACATAATTGTATAAACTAGAATTTAAACTCTAAGGACATAGATATTACTACTTCGTATGATTAAAAATTTTAAACGAATCGTGTTAGAAACAAATGAATCGAATTCTCAAATATAATTATAGTACCAAAACAAAATTTGAGACAGACAGAGTAGTAGTTATCTTCATTTTCTTTTTCTTTTTTTTTTGCTAAAAGGGAAAACTCGCAGCTGTTACAACATCTGCCACAGTCTCTGCCCTTCGGATGAGCACTTTGTGCACATTGGGTAAGCTTCCCATGTATAATAGCATGCAAATCACACGGGGATGTAAACACATAATAGTAGTTATCTTCATATTTTCCTTGGGGGATATGAACCCCTAAATATCCGCCTGGAAATGTTTCACATATTATGTGAATCTTTATTGTTTCTTTTTCACTATTTTTGAAGAAACTTGTTTCGCAGTTGAGATGCTCAGTTGATTAACAATGGCGGAAGTTTCTAGAGATAAGGGGAGATTATTTTTAGAAAGTAAAAATGATATTTTCTCACTTCACATTTATTATTGAGTATCTGTGCATTTATATACATGTGTCTTTCTTAAATCACTAACTGTCATGGGCTGCTTTCCATCATCGACCCATGACCCCTTGGACGCACCCCGTGGCGTCCCGGCAAACCTCTCAACGCCTAGCGCCACGGTCGGCCCCGTGGTTTCGGCAGCGCCAAGTGACAAGCGCGCATGCGCCTTTGTCGCCCCACCGATAATCAGTGCCAGCGCCCAGCGGCTGGCGAATGCCATCAGTGCCGCGCGCNATAATGCGCGCGGACCCTGATGCTCAAGACAAAGTTGATGTCATCGGACTTGCTTCCATAGAAGACTAAGTCCTTTTTATTGTAATTATAGAGTAGTTTTACTTCATTCATCTTCAGTGTGCTACTACAACTTTCTTAGGTCAACTCATGTAACTTTGGGTTTTTTTTTAAGCATTATTAAGGGGGACCAAAGCATTCAAACATTCGAGCATTCAAACAATTCTCTGTACTGGTGTCTCTCCCCCCGACACCGCATTGCATCTTGTAATAGCTTTCATCATCATCAATACAATCATCAGCTTTCATCATCAATTGCTCATTTTTCGCTGCTCAATTGCTCACGATATTGGTTTTCTCGTACGGCACTGACAATCTAGTCTAGTGTACGGAGAGGACCTCAGTTGGCGTATAACAACCGCACTGACATCGGTTGCTTAGCCTTACATCGCCCTTCCAAGGAATTTCAGGAAGGCACCGCGTAATAGTTGGTATCAGAGCCTAGGCTCGACATCGGACGAGGGAACTCATTGCCATCATCATCACCATTTCTGACCATCGTGAATTATGGGGATCGTATCGCGACCCTTCAAGAGACGGTTGACGAATTACGGCCCATCGTGGATACGTTGCCTGATCTAAAAACCAGCCTAGTGCAAAGGTTGGACGACCTGGACTATAGAATGCGGCAGGCCGAAATTGACATAGCAAATATCAGTCATGACTCTGAGAAAGACCGGCAAACGGCTGCCGTCGAGGCAACCGAAATTCATGGCAAATTCGAGGACCTCCAACAGGAGCGTGCCGAGGATATAGCCCATCGGGAACTAGAGGCAGACAGATTGACCGTCATGCAGCAAATCATAGACAACTTGATAGGCCAACTCAATGCTGTCAATGCTGCCCTTCAAAGCCTGCTCAAAGGAGGCGAAAACCAAATCAGGGGTGCCATGAACATTGCCCCCGTGCCAAAAAAGCTGAAAATTCCGAAACCCAAGCCATACAACGGAGCCCGGGATGCCAAAGAAGTGGAAAACTTCATCTTCGACATCGAACAATACTTCGATGCCATTGGACAGTTAAAGGAATCCAAAACGGTAGCAACTGCTGCCATGTATCTTCAAGGCGATGCAAAACTCTGGTGGCGAGTCAAATACGAAGCCATCAGGGCCGGTAAAGATACTCTCAACACATGGGCAGAATTGAAGGCAGCCATACGCCTGCAGTTATTCCCCGAAAACGTGGAATACAATGCACGGAGAAAGTTGCGTGAACTCCGCCACACCAGGTCGGTGCGGGACTACGTGCGTGAATTCTCCGCACTCATGCTAAACATACGGGATATGGGGGACAAAGACAAATTGTTCGCATTCATAGAAGGTTTGAAACCTCATGCTCGTGTGGAGTTGCAAAGACAACGGGTAGATACCCTGCCCAAGGCCATTCAAGTTGTAGAGTGCCTTGGGGATTATCAGTTGGAAACTCATAAGGATAGGCCCCAGCAGCCTGTTCGAGGGGGATACAATGGGAGCCAACCTAGCAACGGTGGCCCCAACAGAAACGGAAGAGATCGAGGTGCATCCAAATCAAAGACTCCTTCCTCAAGCAGCAACAGTGCTGCATCAGTCAACAATAATCAGCGGAGAAAGCCCCCCATCAGAATGCTGCCATTACGGCGGGGAACATTGGAACAATCAATGCCCCAATACACAAATCAATGCTCAACAAATTGTTGACGATGATGAGTCAGATCAGGACGGCTCAGTCGGCGCAGAACAAGTAGGGGCCTTCAACGCATTTGTTGGCTCCATTCATGATACCTTGGCGGGAATCAGTGCTGGCAACCCCAAGAAGAACGCATTCCCAATCGACAAGAAAGGGAAAGGAAAGGCGGACAAGAGGCCTCCCACATCACAAAAGAGGACCTTTATGTTCGTTGACATAAAAGTAAACGGCAGACCTATTCGGGCATTGACAGACACGGGTGCTAGCCACAACTACCTACCCTCAACTCAGGTGTAACGCCTCAGTCTAGCAGTGCAAAAATTCAAAGGTCGTATCAAGGCTATCAACTCTCCATCTCAGCCAGTGAGTGGAATAGCCAAAGAAGTGCCAATGAAGTTTGGCCCATACAAGGGAATATTCGATCTACGCATAACTATCATCGATGACTGCGAACTGATAGTGGGATTGGAATTCCTCAGGTAAACAAACACCATCCCGACACCATATGCCAACATGCTCCTAATGATGGGGGACGACGGGGCCAAACCCCGAACCATACTGTGCATACCCATAAAGATGGCCGCTGGAAACATCTCGGCTATGTAGTCAAAGAAGGGAACCAACAGACCTGAACCTACGGTTCTGGCTGCCCTCAACATCATCAATCAAACATCAGATCATCAGCGTCCAACAACTCATGGTGCCCCTCTTTGTATGAAGACTTGTCAAGCATTCCAAAAGGACAAGTCAGATCACTCAGCGCAAGCGGGACTCTTAGAGCCGCTACCTGTCCCACAGAGACATTGGGAAAGCATTTCCCTGAATTTCATCACAGGATTACCCAAGGTCGGAAATCATGCAACCATCATGGTGGTAGTAGACAAATTTTCCAAGTATGCTACCTTCATCGCAGCCCCACAGAACATATCGATAGAAGATACAGCTCGACTCTTCTTCTCTCATGTTGTCAAACATTGGGGTATGCCCAGCAACATCATTAGTGACTACGACCCACGCTTCACTAGCAACTGACCCAACTCTTCAGTTGCCTCGGATCCAAATTGAGTTACAACTCAAGCCATCATCAGCAGCAAACATATGATCAAACAGACCGGTTCAATGACATGCTGGAGGAATATCTCTGCCAATTTGCAACCAGGTCACAAACACATTGGGTAAAGCTTCTGGATGCTGCTCAGATGTGTTTCAATTCACAAAAGTACGGCCATACAAACAAAAGCGCTTTTGAAATTGTTACCGGACAGCAACCGCTACTCCCACAGAATGTGAATGCACCAAACATGCCAACATCTCATCGAGCTGCCAGTTTCTCGACAGAATGGGAGCAAACTTTAAAGATAGTGCGGAGCTATCTTGTCAAAGCCCAAGACAGGGCAACGAGGTATGCCGAACAAAACCTTCGCTTTGCCCAACATCAAGCAGGGGAAAAAATGATGGTAAGAACCTCGAGGCGGAACTTGTTTGCAAAGAGGACCCAAGATCCTCGCCTATTACAAAGCTACATCGGGCCTTTTACCATTGAAAGGCGCATCGAAAAATCCACATACCAGCTGAACACACCAGCCTGGTGGGAAATCCATCCAGTCTTCCATGTCAGTCGCCTCAGGCCATTTCAGAAATACATGGAAGATCATTCAGAAAGCCACCTCACAACACCGAGGGGAACAGACCTCCAACCATCAAGAGCCTGACCAATCATCATCATCCTGCAGGTAAGGCTTCGAGGACGTCGCCAACTCAGGTGGGGGAGAATGTCATGGGCTGCTTTCCATCATCGACCCATGACCCCTTGGACGCACCCCGTGGCATCCCGGCAAGCCTCCCAACGCCTAGTGCCATGGTCGGCCCCGTGGTCTCGGCAGCGCCAAGTGACAAGCGCGCATGCGCCTCTGTCGCCCCACCGATAATTAGTGCCAGCGCCCAACGGCTGGCGAATACCATCAGTTCCGCGCGCATAAACCATCATGTTGCCAACAGCGCTGCCCGCACAGACAGTGGCCCCGCACATACCCAATGCCAAGCACCAGCGCCCAGCCGCTGGCAGATCCAAATAGTGCCGCGCGCGCCAACAGCAATGCGCGCGCAGACCCTAATGCTCAAGACAAAGTTGCTGTCATCGGACTTGCTTCCATAGAAGACTAAGTCCTTTTCATTATAATTATAGAGTAATTTTACTTCATTCATCTTCAGTGTGCTACTACAGCTTTCTTAGGTCAACTCATGTAACTTTTTTTTTAAGCATTATTAAGGGGGACCAAAGCATTCAAACAATTCTCTGTACTGGTGTATCTCCCCTCGACACCGCATTGCATCTTGTAATAGCTTTCATCATCATCAATACAATCATCAGCTTTCATCATCAATTGCTTATTTTCCGCTGCTCAATTGCTCATGACATTGGTTTTCCCGTACGGCACTGACAATCTAGTCTAGCGTACGGAGAGGACCTCAGTTGGCGTATAACAACCGTACTGACATCGGTTGCTTAGCCTTACGTCGCCCTTCCAAGGAATTTCAGGAAGGCGTCGCGTAACATAACGCGTGTACTAACAATACTAATAACTAACTAACTATAAATTACACCTAACTCAACTAACTCTTGTACAGTTGGATATAAGTTGGACATCTACATACACAGTCAGCTTCACATATGCCAATACTCCCCCTTAAGCTGGAGGGTGTAACACGTTGAACACTTCGAGCTTGCACATCAAATACACATGTTAAGCACTACTCAAGGCCATAGTTAAGAGATCAGCATGTTGATCCTTGGTACCCAAGAATTGGGTTTTGATGATTCCAGCTTTAATCTTATCTCTAATAAAATGACAATCGATCTCTGTATGTTTCGTGCATTCATGAAAAATAGGATTTGCGGCGAATTATAGGGCAACTTTGCTATCACTGAGGACTGTCACAGGTTGTAAAATTAGCACTCCTAACGCTTGAAACATACCCAGCAACCAAGTGGTTTCTGCCACACCAGACGCCATGCTCCTATATTCAGCTTCTGCGGAACTCCTCGAGGCAGTCTGTTGTTTCTTAGATTTTCAAGATATCAAAGAGTCTCCAAACTTAATCACATATCCAGTTACATACCTTCTAGTATTCAGACATGCTGCCCAGTCGGAGTCACACCAACAAGTCAGTTCTCGAGCTGGTCTTGATCTCAAAAGAATGCCCTGCCCTGGTGCTCCCTTCAAGTATCGCATTACTCTAGCAGCAGCCTCCCAGTGTGAAAGTTTTGGGCACTGCATGAATTGGCTTAAGGTCTGAACAGTGTAGCTAATGTTAGGCCTTATTATTGTCACATACAACAACTTTCCCATCAGACTCTCATAAGCACGTACATCTGCAGTGGTTTATCATTCTCTGTCTTCATTTTTTCATCATATTCTACAGTTGTGAGCCTCTTGTTTGTCTCCAGAGGTGCAACTGCAGTTTTTGATCCACTTAGTCCTATCTCTGAGATCAATTCTAAGACATATTTCCTTTGATTCAGCAATACACCAGCCTCGGACCTCATAATCTCTATCCCCAGGAAATATTTCAATTCACCTATCCTTCACTTTAAATTTTTGTTGCAGAATTTTCTTGGATGTGTCTATTAATTGACAATTGCTCCTTGTTATGAGCAAATCATCCATATAAAATAGGATAATCACAATGTCTCGGCCGCTCTTCATGGTGAATAGAGAGTAGTCATGGCTGCTCTGGACAAAACCTGCATCTGTCAAGGCCTCAGTCAATTTAATGTTCTACTGCCTAGAGGCTTGCTTAATCCCATATAATGAATTGATAAACTTGCACACTTTCTTCTCCCCCTGGCTTCCAAATCTCTCTAACATTTGCATATAGACTTCTTCATACAAGTCTCATTGCAAAAAGGCATTATACACATCCATCTGAAATAACTCCCAACCTTTTGAGGCTGCCAATGCTATAACAGACCTTACTATGATCATTTTTGCCACAGGTGAGAAGGTCTCATGATAATCTAATCCTTCTCTTTGACTGTACCCTTTTGTTACTAGCCTTGCCTTAAATCTCTCCACTTCTCCATTTGCCTTGAACTTGATTTTGTATACCCACTTTGATCCTATAGTAGTCTTCCCAGTGGGTTGATCTACTACTTCACATGTTTTGTTTTCCTCTAATGCCTTGATTTCATACTTCATAGCTTCAATCCATCTAGCATCTTTAACAGCTTATTTGAAGGTTTGTGGTTCAACAAGTGATGAGAATTTAGCAAGATAGCACTGATACTTCACTGAGGTGTTTGCATATGATAGGTAGTCTGATATGGGGTAAAGGCAATATGCCTTTGGAGGATGTGTAACATAATATTTCATCCAAATAGGCTGTTTGGACTCTCTAGTTGTCTTTCTTCTTCCATCAACAACATGAATGCTAGTCTTTGTTGTAGGAACTTGATCCAAATCTTGCTCCAACTCTGCATCTTCAACACCTTGCTCATGCCCCAATTCCTCACATATATCATCTTGTTCATGCTCGACTTCAAAGAATGGATGTTCTTCTGTCTCTGCAAGTGCAGGTACTTGAACCTACTGCATACCTGATGTATGTGTTGTCTCTACTGGTGTCAAGGGATTATCGGCACACAAATGCCTTGGCACAACACTTGGAAGTACCATCTCTGGATAAGATTTTTGTCTAAAAGAGAAAAGTATCTCTTTGAACACCACATCCCTGCTTACAAAAAACATATTAGAAGACAAATCCAGTAATATGTAGCCCTTTTGGGTTTCTGAAAAATCAAGAAGCACTGATGCATTGGCCATTTGTGCAAACTTGTCTCCCTTGACCAACCTAGTAGCATAACACAAACAGCCTAGAATTCTGATATGTCAAAGAATTGGTTTCTTATGATAAACATCTCATAAGGAACCTTACCATTCAAAACTCTAGAAGATAGCCTATTTATCAAATAGACTGCTGCTTGCACACACATACCCAGTATCTTATAGGAATACTTGCCTGAAACCTTAAGGCCCTTGCCACATCTAGGATTCATTTCCACAACATCGTTCTGTTGTGGAGTATATGGGCAAATACTCTGATGTATTATCCCAAAATTATGTAACAATGTACCACATTGAGAGTTAAAGAACTCTGTTCCATTGTCGAATCTTATAACTTTAATCATAGTTTCAAAGTGATTTTTAACCATGGTTAAGAACTGCTTTAAAACAACTATAACTTCAAACTTTAATTGTAAAAATAAATCCATGTGAATCTAGTATTGTCATCCACAACAGTTAAGAAGTAATGCTTTATGTCGAAAGTAGGCACTTTAATGGGTCCACAAAGGTCTAAATGTACAAGATTGAATGGCAAATTAGCTCTAGAACTACTGATTGGAAATTCTAATCTAGACTGCTTTGCTAGTGGACAAACAAAACAATCATTTTGTATAGTACTACTAACTTTTTTCCTTAGGTCTGCTATATGATTCATAGTTGTAACAGATGGGTCGCCCAACCTCATGTGCCATAGATTGCCTTCTTCACTGTAATTGCTTACTGCAACAGCTCTTATTCTAGCAAGTCTGTTTGCATCTGAATTCTCCTTAAGAATGTATAAGCCTCCTCTCTCTCTACCAATCCCCTTCACCCTGCCACTGTAAAGATCCTGAAATACATAAAAATCAGGAAAAATGTGGTAGCACAAGAGAGCTCTTTGGTCAGCTTTGATATCGACAGTAGATTGTACTTAAAATTAGGCACATATAAAATATTCTGAACAACATCTTTGTCAAACAAGTTCACATTATCAACGTGTGTGATATAAGCTACTTCCCATGTTGGTAGGTGCACTTTATCAGTCCTAGATGTCCATACATCATCACAACCTTGTAATATTTTAAAACTAGCAGCAATATGATGAGTAGCCCCGGAATCTATGATCTATTCCTTTGGTGTGTGCTCAGACATCAAGCAAGTGACAATACCTACAAAGTTGGTATGATTCTCTTTTGTACAATTGGCCTGGTTCTCTCATGTTTTTTGTTCAACAACTCCAAAATTTTCTTATATTGCTCATCAGTTAAAAATAGTGACCTTTGTGTTCAGATATTCCTTGATTAGTTCTAGCTCGCTACAATGAAGAAAATCCTTCTACACTGTTGACTGTTGCAGGAGGCTCTCTTCTCCAGCCATCCGAGTTTCCTGTTCCAAATTTCTTCTTAGGCTTTAAATCCATAGGATAACCAATGATTTTATAGCAATTTTCTTTTGTATGATCCTTCATCCCACAATGTTCACATTTAGGGAATTGTTTCTTTCCTTTAAATACTTGGGCTCTTCGAGCTTGCATAGCTATAGTATTCATTTTATCTGATAGAACAGTAGTTCCAACAGATTGTTGACTTTCATCTTGTATTATTATCGCGTAAGCTTGATTGAGATTAGGCGCATTAGTCTTCATAAGGATATGTTGCCTTGATTGATCATATGAATCATTGAGACCGCTCAGAAATTACATAACTCTTTGTTGATGTATTTGTTCCACATGATCCCTTGCTTTTGGACAGCCACAATCAGAAAAAGGTACCAGTACATCATATTCATGCCAAATTTCCTTTAACCGTGAAAAATACATGAAACAGAGTTAGTGCCCTGTGAAAAGGTCGCAATTTTCATGTGTAATTGAAAATTTCGCACTCGATTGACTTTGTCAAATCTCTCTCGCATGTCTTCTCAAACGAGGTAAGCATCTGATGCATAGACAATTCCTTCAAGGAGTTCTGCCGAAACATTATTCATTATCCATGAAAGAACAATCGCATTACAGGTTTCCCATTGCTCTAGCAAGTCACTTGTGTACGAGTCTCTCTTGCACTTTACTATGACAAACCCTAACTTCTTCTTCCCCATAAGTGCAATCCGCATTGACCTGCTCCATAGGCCGTAATTCTCTGATCCTGTGAGCTTACCAGGAACAATTACTGAACTAGGAATGTCCGACAGACCAATATACAGAGGATGAGTGTCGTCGATCATATTTTCTACCGCTGACGAGGAATCGCCCATTGTTGAAGAGAACGAGCTTGAAATTACTGTGAACAGATAAAGAAGAGAACAAATCGAATCAAAGATTATATCGCGTGAGATTCCAATATCTCCCGCTCTGATACCATGAAGAAACTTGCTTCGCAGTTGAGAAGCTTAGTTGATTAACAACGGCGGAAGTTTCTAGAGATAAGGGGAGATTATTTTCAAAAAGTAAAAATGACATTTTCTCACTTCACATTTATTGTTGAGTATCTGTGCATTTATATACACGTGTCTTTCTTAACAAACTAACACGTGCACTAACAATACTAATAATCAACTAACTATAAATTACACCTAACTCTTGTACAACTGGATATAAGCTGGACATCTACATATACAATCAGCTTTACATATGCCAATAATTTTGTATTTAAAAATACACATTATCTCTCAATTGTCGAAAGAATATAATGATTTTAAAGTGCCCTTGTTCGAGTTGTATACAAACTAACTCTCTATTATAGTACAGTACTCCTATTTTCAGAATAATATTGGGACAATACTTTAAAGTCCCTATTAGGACAATGCTTTAAATCCATTATTATATGATACTAGAAAATTTTATTCAATGATGACTCTCAAGATGTACAGTGGTTTTAGAACGCAATTACAAAATAATAATTAATTATATGTTGTATTTTAGCTATATTTTTTCATTGGATTCAAATACATATATTCGTTGTTGTATATCTAATTAGTTTGTAGTAACGACAACCAATATATAAGAGATGCTACTATTCTTGTGAGTAGAACCGTAGAAATTCTGGTGCCGCTTAAATTTTGATTTTTGTCCAAACACCAGTGACAATTACATTTTACAAGATGGCAGATGCAACGGATTCTGCAGGTACTTATTTCGCTTGATATTATCATGAGGTGATAGTTAAGAGTATTTGATAAGAAGTACTATTTAGTCAGAATTTTACAAAAATAGTATCAAACATACTATCATAAATTGTCTAGTTTGGATTTATGCAGAATCTTTTACGGAATTTATATATATGTACAATTTTGAGAAAGTGGAACTCTGGCATCATGGATCACATTATTTTCGTATAATAATTAAGCTGTGATCTCATTTTGTGCCGCTGACGAGGAATCGCCCATTGCTGAAGAGAACGAGCTTGAAATTACTGTGAACAGATAAAGCAGAGAATAAATCGAATCAACGAT